GAAAAACTCCACACATAGGCCACATTATAATAGGCAATAACCTGTTATTATGGTCTACTGTGATTATTCACACAGTGTGGGACACACACGAGTTGTAGTCACCACCAGGGTGTTAGCAATAAGAGTTGTAGTCACCACCAGGGTGTTAGCGACTTTTTAGCGATATTTTCATGTTGACTAATCTGATATTGAAGTGGAGTCAACAGGTGGTTGAATGACATCATCACACTGACAGAGCAGGAACCGCACAGACGCACACACACCCCCAGTACTGGGCTTTTAACCCTTATACATACGTTTTTGTTACTTTGCTTTTTTACTTTTGTGAGCACACTACCTGCACTTAAGGAGACTCCCCTGGTTCCTGCCTGCGTTTGGGTCCTGCCTGCTTCCTGCCATACCGGAACATAACACATGCAGTGCATTACTTTTGAAGCCTTTGCTAGAAGAGAATGCTGTAGTCAGTGGTCCAATCAGCTCCCAGTGAGATGCTCATATCTCCAGTGAATTTTATTTTTAAATCTTGGCTATGTAACAGTTTCATCCTCTACGACATCTCAGGAATTCTCTGCTCTCATGTAGCTTCTCCAGCATTACAGTGGAATTCTACCACATTTGAAGTTGTTTTGGTTCAATGGGCAACTGGGACTTCTTATCCCTCACAGTGCCTGTATCAACAATGTGTTTTGTTTGTTTCTGGTTTCCATTTCACCTCTCATCTGAAAGGCCTCTTCAGTTCTAAGTGACTGCTGGAAAAGATCTGGTATTTAGCCTCAGAGTGGCACTTCCAGCAATGTTGTGAGTGACAGAGTTGATGCTGCTAATTATTTAGAGGAGCACCCATCCTATGCACTTTAGGAAGTCCATAGTTGTGAGGAGTTTAGTTCCAGGAGTCTGGAGTACCGTTTTTTATCAATGTTTTTGGGTTTGTTTGTTTTTTGTTTTTCATCTCTACTATCCAATCCACAGCTCTTTTCTTGTATCCACTGGTCCTGCGCCAGTGCACCTTAGTCTTGAAGAAGACTGTTCAGCCTGGCAATACTTTAAGCCGTAGTTATTCTGCCTCTGTGGTGGACAGTTGTTTGTTTTTATTGTTGTTTCTGTTGCTTGGTAAGATGTGGGTAACAGACAGAGAAAAAATGAACTTTTGGCCAAAACATCTTTTTCCAGCTGGGTGAGGACCCTGTCAGACAAAATCTTTTGTTTTGTATCAACTTCCTATTCAGACACTGAGGCCAACCACTAGTAAGTCTGAAGTTGTCTGTAACCCAACTGCTTCACCTAAAATGACTTGGATGATGAAGACCCTAAATAACTATGTTCACAAAATTAGAACATGTCTAACACATTATTTATCTTGTGAGCCAAAAAATCATATTTAACCGAAATTTGAACTAAGACTTTTTTAATTGCCTCAATTTCACCCACACCCCTCGTTATATTAAAATGATATTATGCTGATCTGAAATTGCATTTGATAAGCTTGCTTAAGCTTGCAGCAATAAAAGCTTTTTTTCACTGACTAAATTTAACAATTATAGTACAATAGCTCAAATGAGGTTAGACCAAACTGCATTCTTCCATTTACGTATTAAGGGTTTGTCTGGTATGGGTACTAGAATTGATAATGTTTAGGTATTGACCTTATGTTCTTTAACTACAAAAGTAAAAAGGTAGAAGTAAAACATGAGGCGGCTCATGTTATGCCTGTTGCCTGTGGTCACGTGTTGACATTGTTTTCAAAACCCTGTTTCCAACTCGTGCAGAGGCTACGATGAAGCACAGTTTTGCCCTTTTCTACTCTTTGAATTATAAGACGGAGAATAAGAAGAGTTTTGTTGTAAAAGTAGCACAGCTCGGCGCCATATCTTTTCAGTTTAGAAATCAATAGTTAATCATGGTGCCTCTGCTGTCCCAGCCTTCAGTGTTATCTGGCTTCAGACTGTGATAGTATCTGAAGGGGGAAAAACTACATTTGGGGGCACTGCTCCAGAGCCAGATAAGCATCGTCAGGATTACTTTATTCCTTATTTGTGAGGGGAAAAACCAAAGACCTCATCTGCAATTATTTCCCCCTCTGTGGTCTGTTCACTTTGGCTGTGATTATTTAGGTTCTGATGAAAAAGTTGATAGCGAGCCGACAGTTTCTCAATCGTGAAGTTATCAAAACCCAGATTTGCATGGCTATGCAAATCTGCCAGCCTCCAGTTCCGTTGATTAAATCATCTTCGTGCGAGTGTGTGTGCGTATCCACTATCATTTACATATACTGTATCTAGGTCATTGTTCTGCTGTTTGTGTTCCTTGTCTGATGGATATGTATTGCATTGGTTGCCAGATGCTTATACAGCATGGGTCAAGTTATTTATGATGCTACAGGCAGCCTGTGGATTCCATATAAGGTTTATAGTCGAGGTTTACATTAGCCTTTGACACCGACTTATTTTTTTCTTTTATACAGCGACAGTATATTTTCTTCTCCATGAAAGCACGTTGATTTGTGTTTTGGTCTAACAATTTAATCTCAGTGTTCAATTAGTAACCTTGGAACGTTGTCAGATGTTATTTTTCCTCTGCTTCAAATGTTGGTTTTTGTTTTTTTGCTGTTGGTTTAACTGCTCATGTTGCCTACACATCCGTTTGTGATTGTGGGGTAAACACTTTGTGATGATTTCTTTCTTCCTTCTCAGCATCCTCAGCCGGCCCTAACATCACGCTGGAGGGTCAGTACCACTGTCGCCACGGACCTGCCATCCCCCTGGACAAACTGTGTGACTTCAGCACAGACTGCCCTCTCGGTGATGACGAAGGCGAACTATGTCGTAAGTAAATGCAGGGTGAAATGCTTGTATATTTATGTCTAGCCATCAATGTAGCCTAATGAGGCGCAGTTAAGAAGTTCCACAGCCACTGTGATTTATTTTTTAATCAAGTCATTACATTATGAACAGCAGAGCAACACATGAGTGTCTTTATAACAACAGCTTTGGGAGACAACACTGCTACAGTTTGATGACATTTCATTCACAAATAAATCCTGAGATTTGTGTGGCAGTTACATATTTTTAGCTGTACGCCTGCATTGAAAACATGCCTTTTCGAACTTGAACCACATACAATCTAGAACACATTCAGCATTAACATTAGATCTGAGATTTTCTCACTGACCAGGATTGCCGTTTTATATAGGGTTCTGTTACCTCTAATATAATGGTGGCTCCCCAGTGGGCTTTCGTTCATGCTATCTATTAAAATGAAAAGATAAGCTGGTTACTAAAGGGTGAAAATCCCTCTGCGTAGTTGTTACCCTCCATTAGAACGTATTATTATTAATCGGCCTAAAGAGCCTTGTGTATGTGTGGATAAATCTTCATATATGTGCAGGAATATGTACCAGTCAACCCAGTTTGTTCTAGTGGAATCAGTGACCCCAGAGCCAGTGATCGAAGTACAGAATAAATACTGGTTATATTGGCTTTGGCATGCGCTGTAAATAATAATGGTAAAAGTTAATGGTTCGGTTAAGTTAAGCTACAAAATGTTACAGCAGTCCATCAGTTAGTAACAGTCAGCTCACAGTACTGTAGGCTCATTATCTACAGAGAATGGAAACTGAAAAAATAGGAGGTAAAAAGTTTTACTAAATTTACACAAGAAAAAAGAGTATAACCAGAGCAATTCAATACTTGACACAGATTGATGGTTTTTATAGTAAATGGCTCCTGGCTGTGAGTCGACTGAGTAGCGAATGTCATGGCATAAAGGTCAGATGTCATTTGCTTTGAATCAAGGTTCACTCTCTCTTTCAAGTGACTCTATATTTAGAAATAACCTTTGTCATTTGTAAAGACAGGAAATGACCCTTCATTCATCACACCACTGTGACACTTAGACATTTTTCCTACCTCCCATAATCTGCTCGTGCTTCCCATGCGCTGTACTTACAGTTTCATTTGCATCACTTGTCCGCATTACCCTGCTTTCCAAATCACAGTTTTCCTCTTGATTACCATACTTTCTATCCACTAGTGATTCATCAAATTTGATCTATTTAAATCCTTTAAAGCTGCGCCAAGTCTCATTAACAGCAAAAGGCAGGATGAACAAACTTGTCAATCATCTAAAACCCTGACACGTGGTCCCCGTGGCTCTCCTTCACCATCCTCACACATATGATTATACACAAACACACTTTCTCTCACAGTTTCTCCCTTTGATCCTGGCTTTAAACTTGCATGCAAAGCTGCATGTGTTGCTGCTTGGCATTAAAGGCCAATGTAAGTAGAGGGTAAGTAAGTTTTGGTTTTTTGGGATGTTTCCTCATTTAATAATTCACGATGTGGTCAGATCAGCACTTGTTTACTAGTTGCTTCTGGTTTCTGTTGCTAAGTATGCGAACAAGAAGTCTGAACACGAGTTCGACAACTTTTTGTAAGTGCTTACAAAACAAACAGGTCTGATCCGAATGGTAAATGGACATACTGACTGCACGGCCCAGTATCTATTAGGTAATGTAATCTTTAGGAGCCAGAGGCCACAAACCTGTGGAGCTGTAATCATACGTATCTCTGTCCCATTATCTTCAGAGTGACCTTTACAGTATATGTGCAGCGTAGGAGGACAGCATGTCTGTGAAGTTCCATAATGCAGAGAGAACTCACCTACCTGTCAGTATAGAGGTCTCACATTAACATACTTATAGGACATAATAGTCAATAGAATAATGAATGGCTATCTGCAGCCTACACAGCCATTTTTTTATTTCAAAGAACTCTTCACTGCATCACTTACTGTGCACTTTTTTTTAATTTAGAAAGAAAACATAACCATACCTGCAGAAAAGTAATGTTTCATGGTATTGACAGATTGATGAGGAAAACACATATTAATATACAATAATGCCATTTTATTGATATTTTATTACATGCCGTGCCGTAATACATATATAAGATTGTATAAGATTGATATATGAGTGAAAACTAATAAAGAGAAATCCTTAAAAAAAAACCTAAAAAAGGCATAATTCTCACAACATGAGCGCCTCTCCTGCCATCAACCTAATGTATTGTATTGTAACTGTATTCTGAATTCATGCAGAAACTAACAGGAACTTTATAAGGAATTGAAACAAATATTGCAAAAAATAGCTGGAAAAATGAAATCCTGCCTTCAGAATTTTTAAAGACAACAAAGATAATTATTTCAATATTTTAGCACTCATTCGTAAAGGTTAAGTATAACTTCTTAATAACTTACTTAATGATTAATTAAATGGCCAAATTGATTATTACCTTGATTAAATAACATTGTTTTAATAAGTGAATTAAAATAACTAAGTGAGTGACTGACAAACAAGTAATAATGTGTAGATGAAAGCTTCAATTACATCTGCAAAGTGGTGATAAATGTGAGTAAAAATGAGATTATAAATCATTTAAAATTTTAAAAAAGAGAGAGAAGCATAGCTTCCCACCTCTTTGTCTAAAATATGTGTATATATTTATGTATGTATTTATATATGTATATATATATGCAATGTATACACACATGCATACTGTACATACATATACACATACATAAAGTTAACAAATTTGAAGGGAAAACATTTGCAATATCTGTCCAAATTATTTTCAACACAATGTAGAATACAACACATTATAATCATATTCATCATAACTTCCTAACAACAACTGCGTGGTCTGCTAATATATCCTTAAATATGCATCTCTGTTACGTCTCTTTACTGTTTAGTTTGATTTAAAAATCCACTGCATCTGGTGTAACCATCCTTTTAAGCGCTGTGTTATTGACTGACTTCATTTACATTCAAACCTTCCATCTGTCTCTCTGACATCTGTCAGGTCTACTTCCTCTCCTTGCCTCTGATTGTACAGCCCACTCCTATTGTTCACTCCTCATTTGATCCCACACACGTTAGTCATTAGTGTCCAACCATCAACTTCTGCTCTGACCGCAGCGTGACCCTGTCCTTTCTTACCTTCACCGTCACTCCACCCACTGAAGGCCAGCCTAACTGTCCCCCTGACTGTTGTGTTTCCTCCAATCTCATCTCTTTGCTAAGCCAACAAAACTGACGTCTGTTGTGTCTGTCTGCTCACCATTCGCCCTTTACTCGTTATCACCCTCTTCTGCTGCACCTTGATATATTTTTCCTGTTTACCCTCTGTCTCCCCAGGTCACTTTCTTAATGGCACCTACTGTTCTTTTGAGGAAGGTGAATGCAGTTGGCGATCTGCTGCTGTTCATGGCTTTTCCTGGAGAAGAGTCCAGTTTAAGACCAAGGCCATCAGACGCAGTTGCCCGTCGTCAGGTTGACATTGAAAACAAATAATCACAACAATTTGCTGTGTTTGTCTGTTGCTCTTGCTCAAAATTGTTTGCTGATATTAAAAATACTATTAGGATATTGTAGAGCATGCAATTCAGGTACATTGTAATGTTGGACAAATGTTATGTAAAGGAGTCCTTGACTTACCTGGGAGCTCTGTTCCTACAGTACGACATAATTTCTTGCTCTAAGCTAGTATTTTACTCAAAATACACATGTCATTCATCTACGCTAACACAGTGGTAACGTCGTTATTTAAGACATAAAAACAGGGGTTTGATTTATGCTTGGGAGCCATAATGAAGGGCAAAAACTTCCCAGAAAACTAAACAAATGGAAGAAAATGAATGTAGAACAATCCAGTGTATGGAGTAGAGCCGGTGAATGTAAACAAAGCCATCTCCTGCATATAACAATACACGCCATAACTAGTTTCCTAGCGAAATCTGTTTAATGCCGTATGTCAGAATGATGGAACAACACTTTATAATACATTTATGGGAGATGGCGATGTAACTACAAAACGCCGTAGGTCGAGGACGTTGTAAACCGAGGACCCCTGTATATAAAATGCAGCTGTGGTAAATTATGTTTGCATTGGGCCAAACTTTTAATCAGGGTGTTTCTGTCTATTGAAGGTTATATGTTCAGTGTGGAGGGAGGACAGACCAAAGTACACGGTGGTGCAGCTTTACTCACGAGTCCTCTGTTTCCTCCTCCTCTCCGGAACTCTCCATGCACAGTAAGCACAAATCATAAGCTAATCTTTCTTTGAATGTACTAATTTGAAGAGACGAGGTCAGATGTTATTGACTGATTATCAGGGTTAAATAAGGTAACTTAAACAGTGTTTAAACAGAAGTGAATGTTACTTTTTTTGGGTTGACTAGTTGGAAAAATGTTTCAGAGTGTAGCTGGTGTAGCAGTACTGTGATGTCTGAGATGAAAGTGTATGCATTGTTCTGATTACGATTTTTTTACCTTGATGTCTGGGTACCGAGGTTTTGTATATGACTGTAAGTCAATCACAATGACACAATTCTTTCTTTCACCTATCATCTACAGTAAGTGACCATTGACCCTTAGCTTTGCAAAAGGTCTAATCCAGGTGAGACAGTAAAGAAAAGTTCATTTTGTCTGCTGACCACTGTTCAAGTATTAAGAACCAAAAATGATTTAGCCCCATTTGCTGGGTAGGTCGTTTTCAGAGCTGTTTTTACTCATGTGAGTGCTGTAAAAGTCCATTTGAGACTGATGGCTGAACAGTGTGAGCACTTAGATTAATTATGAGCACTGCCTTTTAATCACAGACAATTTACTTATTAGGGGTGAACTGGAATTAAGCAACACGATTTCTCAAACTGTGCAGTAAATTCACTGATAACTGTTTCAGGAAGCAGATCTGGTGTCTCAGCACCAGGGCCCATGGCCAAAGATAAGACATGTGGCCAGATTAATACTGCACATCATTTGGTCCATACTGAACTGAAAAACCCAGCTCTGGGAAATGCACAGAAAACACACCTTTAGATATTAGCTGCAGTTTCTGTTAATCTAACGTACAAACATTCTCCTCATGTTTTTCCAAGGTTGCAGTAAGAAGCTCTACCTGCTAGTAACAAGTGCAGACCAGAAATAAATCAACACATTTTTTTCTACATTATTTTTATCGCATTGCTATCATTTTCTCATCCAGGCATTAATATGGTATACAACTTCATTAAAAGAGCCAGACTTAGCTCCAGATGAAGATGCTATATTGAGCTAAAACTACATATCGTTGGTCGTAGGTTTTAGATTTTTTTCTCATACTATTTTATCTGTTTTGTTTTAGTTTGTTCAAGGTTCTGGGCAGGTTCCATCTGGAAACAGTGAAATGAGATTGATTTGTGCAAGACCATGCAGGAGTGTCATAAAAACAAACAAAAAAACAAATCCCAAACTCTGCATAATCCTGTTTTTAATTAAACATGACCAGGCAGATTTTGTTGGTTGATCATTTTGCAGACATGGAAATGGAATTTTCAACCTGAAATTGTTCAAGTGTGTTTTAAAATAAAAAAATCTTTCAACAGGTGCGGTTCTGGCTATGTACCGGGGCCTTACAGAAGGGGTCGCTGTCTCTGTGGATAGTGGAGAATAGTACAGGGCCTGAAGAGCAGCGCAAACTGTGGCATTTAGGGCCTGAGCTCAAATCTGAACGGGGATGGAAACTCGTCACACTGCCCCTCTATGGCCTGGCTGATTGGTAAGTTACATGAACAGCCGTTTCACCAGTGACAGAAAAATGTATCAAGTCCAAGTTTTCCTACTTTGTGTAGACATTATGTGTAGTGTCACTTTGAAACATTCCCACAAATACTTAAAAGCACACACAACAAAGGACGTTGTGGAGGGATGGGGGTGGGGGGGGCGGGGTACTGAACCCAAAGACTGTTCTTTCTGCTTTTAACTTCTTGTACTTCTTGTAGATTTTTCAACATTTACATTCCATTTCTGGACAAAATTTCCCTTCAACTCCAAAAATTAATGAATCCCTCAGGGACTCTAGGCTAACACCATGAAGCTACCATGTGTGCAAAAAATCCTCCTTTCTTTTATTTAACTTAGAGACAAAATCAATAGGCATTTCCCCTCGTAGAAGAAAAAAACTACGACAAAACAGGGAAGAGTGTGGAAAAAAAAGGAGGCAAACATCAGATAAGACAGTTCCTCTGTGGCTGCCTGTGTTTCTTTGCCATTCAATCAGTGATAATCCCACTCCCCCGGGAGTAATTAATTTTTGATTTCTGGGTTGTGTAGTCAGCTGTGCTTGCGTTCCTAATTAGAATGTCATGTCCGTAAGCACTTGGTGAACCTGCCTCTCTTTGTACACTGACCTTTGGAGAGCTTAAATGGAATCAGAAGTCCACACTTTGCACAGAGGAGAGTTAGGACAAAGCAGACGGCACATGACAGCTTGAACAGCACACAATGATGGCCATCAATTATCCCATCAACAGCAGCAAACGGCACAAATACTCTAGGTCACAGTACAGTCTGTACAACTTTTAATGACGCGAAAGTCCTTAAAGTTAAATTAAATACAAATTTCAGTGACAGAAGTAACATGTCCGACAAGACAGTCTTATCCAAATAAACAACTACTATAATAATGTATGGCAGAGGGCGGGCCAGGAGCAGAGAGATGGAGAGTTGGTGTGAACTAAGATAAATGACATATACGGTAAATAAATGAGTGCCACTCAACACTCATTCAACTTCAAAACAAAGGGTAAAGCAAAACAGTGAAGTAGAGAGTACTACACCTCATCCCTGGAGTGCACCACCTTTTGTCGAATTGTGGCCATTGCAGGGAACAGGCAGAATGGCGAAAGTCTAATGAAAATATAATTTAATAAATTTGGACATGTTTAGCCGGCCGGATTAAAAGCCCAATGATCCATATCTGGCCTGTGCCCCATTTTTTGCCGATGCGTGAACTAGAGCTTGTACATCATATAATTTAATTTTTACAGTTTCTCTTTTTTGTCTTTTTTATCTGTGTATTATCCAGTAATGCAACATGATATAGAAATGAGAGGTTTTGGATAGTTCTGGTCTTATTCCTAGTTTAACCTGGTGCCAAATGTCTAAATCTGAAAAAAAAAAAATGATTATAGATATCATTTAGTTGAGTTTGCCCAGCACAGCTTATAAAATACCCACAGCCACACAACCACTCATTCTATACATGATACATATCATAATCATACATCACTTCTTTGTGGCGGGTGCTAGTGTAGAAGCACAGTTGAAAGCATCAGAGCATAATGTAAGGAGGCCACTCAACAACGTGCTTCACAAGTTCTGGCTTTACAGAGTTTTCCGGCTGGTAACTAGGCAACAAGTGTTTGAGGTACTTTATATAATTTCACTTCTTACTCAATAAAACTGTCGCACCTTTTCAAAGCACTTTCTCAGCGTCTGTATCCACTGGATGTGCTTCTAAAAGGATAATTAGTTTCCAAAAGGATCAAGCTGCTGTTGAGTTGCAGCATATAAACTTCACCTATACTTTTGTTGAACAGACAGGCGATTGGTTCATGGCCATGCAGAATTATCGGTGTTGGGGTAGAAGACTATGATATGGAATCTATATTTTCTATTTTTCTGTGAAGCTTTACTAATGTCCAGCCCATGTACTGTATGGTACTTAGAAATGATCTGACCATCCACAGGTTCTGGCTGCACTTCAGCACAGATGACGGACTTGGACCTGGTTCAGCCATCTTTCTTGACAACATATCTTTTAGTATGGACTGCTTCCTGGCATGTAAGTATTTGATAATGTCTCTTTAATCTCTAGAGCAGGGGTGTCCACACTTTTTTGGCTTGGGAGCTGCTATTCACATGACCAGACTAAACATTAAAAAAATATACATGTTAAATGTTGGGGTACTAGTTAAATGAATGTAACCATATAATATGATTACAATATGATTTAATTATGTTGTAAATGGGCACAACTTCCACATTATAGAAGTGTGTGTATATATTTTGATACTTTTTTTTTGTTTACTCATGATCTACCAGCTCACCCTTAATGATCTACTGGTAGATCCTCATCTACCAGTAGATCAGGGCACCCCTGGTTGTGGAGATTATTAAGTGCTTTTTCTGTTCTTGTGATATTCTCTCGTGACATGAATCAGTGCCATTGTTGAGCCGTCTTCCAAAAATGTCCTGTAAAATTTGTAATTTATCATTATAATGTGTTTGTAGTTTAAATAGTAGAAAAACATTTTTTCAAATGAACAAACACTCTTTGTTTCAAAACATTATTATTTTATCTTTAAAGAATCTTCAAGGATCTGCCTTTGGTTGTCAGTCTTAATGGCAAGATAATAACTTTCCAGTTACATTTTTGAAAATGGAAAATAATGGAAATAATGTTGTTTTGCACTAAAAGTAAACAAAACAGCTGACAAGTATTTAATGTTTTTCTTTATATTCTATCTGTGTCTCCATTACCCTCCAGATCTAATAGGTACCTGTTACCCATGGTGTTGTTTACAGCTATGGGATGTATGTATGGAGTCATTTTAGGTTTTCAGTTTTTTTTTTGCTGTCAGTCAGCTCTAATGGGCCCCAGCTATGATTATAGTATTTGATAGTTTAGTAAGTGGGTTCATGTACTGACCTCAATTCATAGATTAGACTGTTACCTGTTAGTAGTGTAAGTGCACTTCTAATACTGATATTCAAATCACTTTTTTTGTGAAGTAACAGCAGAAGTAAACAGCAAACATATTGTTGCAATGGTATTGCCTTCATTTCTATTTTATATACTGTATGTGTGTGTGTGTGTGTGTGTGAGAGTGTGTGTGTGTGTGTGCGCGCGTGTGCGTGTAAGCCTGTATTCAGTATTGTGAGATACTTTGTGTGCCGAGATGATGTCTCCTGTGACATATGTCCACATCAGTTTGTGTTATGTCCTCTGCTGCTGAAGCACTTGGTAGGGCAGCTCTAAAGGATCATCTATCCTCACTTCACTCACTTTCCAGATGGCAAGTTCTTAATCTAGGCCAGGTATTCATTACCTACAGCCATCCATTGACACGGTTCCATTTTATCACCTATCAATCAGAGCGGTTGATCTGAGAACCTGAAGCTTAGCAAAAGACGGTACGTCTCAGACTGATCCTTGTAAGTGATTAGAGTGATAGATAGCGGATCACGATGGCACAGCCTTGTAATATGTTTTGGCAAGGGGAAAACACACTGCAAATATGTAGAGATTCATTTGTGTTGGATTTATTGTAAATTATAGATTAAAATCATAATTTGTCTCCTGCCCTCAAGGTCTCCAAAGTAACTGTCAGATTTATGGTTCAATCTTCAGCACTGTCATTAAAACACCTTAATAGGTTGGAGGCCAAAAAAAAAGCTATCACTTTTTTTATCCCTGTATTGTGACCCTTTGATTTACTGTGATCTAGTTTTGTATATAATAATTATAAAAAAATAACAGTTGCCCTTCCTGGTGTCGAGAATATAATTTGGAAATAATACTGATTACACATTCCTCTACATGTTTTCCCATTTCCACACAAAATGTATTTTGTGAATTTGGAGGTTAACTAATGAGATTGACATCACCTGAGTCTGTTGGTCCAAAAACCAATCCCAGTAGTCACTAGATGAAGACAGGTAGCAAACGTCCATTCACACTCACATTCACACCTATCAAGTAGAATGTGCTTGGTTTAGAAAAAACTGAACACTTTTTCCTTTTTTTAAACTATTTTCTTAACAATAAATCAATAAAATATTTGCTATCATTTAATAAAAATTCTGCCCTGATGTTAGGTGTAACTGTACAAAGAAGAATGGGTCAGCAGGCACCAAACGGATTCATAAACAGAGATGAACACAGTTTACACTATTGATTTTCTCTGCAACCTTAACATCTGACAGATACTTTGGCACACTTACTGACCATTGTGTTTTTTCTTTTTTTCAGACAAGGTGACCTCAATCACCTGCATTCTTTTACAAATTTGAAAAACTGAAGTAACATTTTTAAAATTTTTACAGAAATGCAGATTTCGCTTGGGTTTTCTCTAGGGTCCAGTCTACAATTGTCACTACATAAATTTGTGTTTACAGTCTGTACAACAAATCACCTTGGTATCCTATCCATGCTGATGATTACACTGATTTATTGCCCCTGCACTAGCAGTTTGCCACAAACATTAATTACTTTGTTGATGCTAAAGGTACAGTGTAGACACAAGTACATCGACTGCCTCAACGCAAATGCACACATATTTAAATATAAGACACCATCACACCAACATGACATGATATAGCACAGAACTCTCTCTGAAGTATGTTGTAGACTAAATATTACGTATGTTAAAACTGTGATTTTAAACTCTATAATTTTAAACAATGACTTAAATAACTTGATGGCTGTTCAAACCTCCTCCATATGAACCAGTTATTGAACCATTTTATTTTTGAAGTCACACCTTTATGTTGGAGAAGGAGAAGTACGAGCAGGGAACTGTGTCTCAGGGAATAAATGACCATAGCTGCACCGCAAATTCACATCTTTGTTCCTCTGTTTGGTGTCTGCTGACAAATCGAAGAAACAAAACTCAACAATATTATAAACTTATAAATAAGACAGTACTTCTAAGCGAAGACAAGTTCAGCGATGGTCTGTGCAGTGTAAACTTAAGTCCTATTGTTTGTATGATGTCTATAGTTACAAATCTTTTTTACTCTGACTTTTTTATATTTAGAAAGTTTTAACATTAAACATCTATGTAGGAGCTTATCTAACAGAGCATGTGTACTAACTAAGGTATTTTGTAGAGGACCGTACTTTCATACTGCTCTCATTCATACACAGTCAAACATCTTTATCAGGATCAGGCCGAGAAGGCTCACATAATCATTTGTTG